GAATTTAAACATGTATGACTATTTGAATTGAAAAGCATATCCTTTCATGAATTAGATAAAGATAAATATGTATAAAGCATTTAAACACATAGTTCGTTAATTGCAAATACTATTGACATACACACGTGTAATACATTTTGAAATAAGTAAAAAGGTAAGGTTTTTCTTATTTTCTTGATCTCAAACATGATGTATCTAGCTTATTAATAGTCATATGTAGCTTGATGGTTTATTAAATAATTGAAAAATAATTGAAAAAAAATTAACCAAGACGGATGTTAAAAACACAAAAAAAGCAAAATGTCAACAACCAAGCATATCCATTCATTTTAAATTATTTTGCGAAGGAAAGAATTGTGTTGTTATCTGAAAAAAAAACCAAATTAAAACAAACAGCATGTTCGTTAATATTTAGAAATGTTAGATGCATAAGCTTGTTTAATACATTGTAATTCGTTCGATAAATAGGTCCGCAGTAATAATAAGGCAGTCCTCCCTAACTTGCAAATATCCCATCATTATCTCAAAGTGAGAATATTTCATCAAAAATAGGACACAGTAACTTCGATCATTAATCACAAGGAACATAAGCGTTTTCAAATTAAAATACCGAAGTCATTGGATTGGAGTTAATTTTACGTTTGAAACTCGCCGGTTTAACTGACGTTTTATATATCATTTTAAACAAACGATTTGAACACGGACAATGGTACAGAAAATCAGAATAGTCCAGTAATGCATAATTATATAACTGCGAAACACATACATATATGTACAAACATAACTCATAAAAAGCACACTATTTGCGAGAAATTAGGAAAAAGAACAAATTAAGAACGATTTGACTATCACTCTCTAAATAGACATATATTCTAGATTAAACAAAATTTCATTAAGTGCATATATATTTTAAATTGATATTTTCTCTCATTTGAATTGACAAAAAACTTAATTAATTGATATGACGAGAACAAATACAAACCTGTGTTTGATGTGAAACACGCAAGTGACCGCATTACATGATGTTCCAAACACAACAGTCAATAAACATTACTGCATGATTAAATATATATTCAACCTTTAACGTAAAATGATAAGTGCAATATGCATCAACTATATCTGTAAATATACAGTTCGCTTTGAATTATCGCATGTTCAAGTATTTTTTAAATTTATTGCATATTTATCTGCACAAATTTATTGGTTAACGTTTACAAAAATATAAAACTGTCTGTTATGTCAAGCTTAATATACGAGAAAAACATGATTCATTTTTGAACATTTGTGAACTTTAGTACTGTGCGAGCAAGTACACAATCAAATGAAATATGGCTTGAAATCATTGAATCACTACGTATCAACACAACACAACAAAGAACTACTTATATTTACGAACAAAATTAAATGACAACGTCTAACAGATATCAATTACGGTCAATCATCTCGTGGATGACTTCAACTTCAGCAATTAGAATTATTTGTTTAAAAGCTTCCTTTTGAGCAGCAACTGTATCACCGCAACAAAATTGCACATTATAGTTAAAAGTGGCGTTAAACACAAATGATTTCAGTAATCGTGTATTGACAATGAACATGACCGCTTCTAAATTGTATCCGTTTAGTCATAGTATACATAGTATACATTTACAGCAGATGTCATTTACCTCTCGATTTACGAATTGGTTGATCCATACGATGCGTCTTTGTCCAAACTAACTAAGGACATTTTTACCACGTGTTAGATTGTGGTTTGACATTACGTCGCCTGATCTTTTAATTACCGAACGTGACTTATTCCCGATTGTGATTGTTTTGCTGAGTGTGAATTTGCATTGCTATAAGACGTGTCACGGTACTTTTCTATCCTAAATTCATGTATTTAGTTTTGATGTTATATTTGTTATTCTCATCGGATTTTGTCATATGCCTTAAAGTTTGTAGTTGTAAATCTTATTTTTTTCTGTTGTATTCGTGTGTTATGGTAAAGATAATTAATCATCCAGTTCATTGATTAGATTTTAGTTTGAATCAACGAAATTTATACGATATATTTGGTTTACACTTTGATTCAGAAGAAACACAGACATAGCTAGATAATACAATTAATTATCTAATTACTACCACAATTTGATATTAATTAGTATTGTAATTTTCATTGTTATTAATAAATTTTAAATCAGTCTTACAAATCTAATCTTGAATTCTATCATAATTCTATCTTATTTTGGGAAATCTTTTTAGAAATTCAAATGTGACGTCACTTTGTGTGTCGATGGCTTTGGTTAACTCGGCTGTGTATTTTTATGTGCTGTTTGGGGTTGTTTTATGTAATGTATCCGTTTTTATTCTGTAGTTAGTCAAAACTTCGGTTTTATCATGTATATCTAGTATATAGTCATTTTATAAAATTTACTGTTTGCAAAAGTATGAATTATTCTAAATAATAAGGATGTTCTTATCCCAGGCAGAAAACCCTAGCCGTATTGGTCACAACTTTTGGAATTTTTGGTCCTCAGTGCTCTTCAATTTTGTACTTGTTTTGGCTTTCGAACTTTTTTCATCTGAGCGTCACTAGTTGGTCTTGTATGGACGAAACGCACGTCTGGCGTATTAAATTTTAAACCTGGTACCTTTTGTTAGCTATTATTCGTGTGTTTCTCTGTCCTATATGTTCTCCCATTTATTTGTATTGTAGTCATGTCATGTAATGTTGTAATTTTAATGTTATATTTAACATTTCCATAAAGGCGGGAGGTTTGGCATGCCACAAAACCAGGTTCAACCCACCATTTTTTTTCTTTTTTTCTTAAAATGTCCTGTACCAAGTCAAGAAAATGGCCATTGTTATATTATAGTTCGTTTCTGTGTGTGTTACATTTTAATGTTGTGTTTTTGTTATGTCGTAGTTCTCTTATATTTGATGCGTTTCCCTCAGTTTTAGTTTGTAACCCGGATTTGTTTTTTTTTTCTCGATCGATTTATGAAATCCGAACAGCGGTATACTACTGTTGCCTTTATCTACGTTCATTAAGAATAAGAACGTTTTCTTTGCGAAATTTCTCGTTTTTTACTATGAACTAAACTGCATTTTCTTATATTGAAATACTTTGTGATTTTATCGATGCATGTTTAATGTGATCTACTGCTCTTATAAAGTATTTTATTTTTTCTGATTCGTGACACACGTTACTAGTTTGGAACAGAAATTCAAAATGGTTTACGTATGTTCAACTTTAATCAAAATGGATTACGGCAAACGTGAATATAACACGCATTCACAAGACACGACTTTTGATATATCGTAGCTTTAAGAAAAAGTAAATGTAGCGTTTTCATAGAGCACATACAATAAATGCTGAATTATAATATGACAGGCAGGAGAAAACATTAGGTCTTGTTTATATTTTATTCTAATATGACGTGTTTCTTTTGCGTTGTAAACAACACCGTGTTAAAATTTTCGATATATCTATACTTAGCGCAGACTCAGAGATATACATAATAATGGATGTTAGAATATACCTCCCACGTAAATCCACATGTATCGGAACCTATTTGCAAACGCTATGCCGATTTTATTGTTTTAAAAGTTGCAATTGAAAAAAGACTAAAAAAGTTTTATTCTTATTGGGATGCATAACAAAAATAATCAATGCACAATAGCTCGGAAAAACATCAAATTAAAACAAAATTTTGCGAATGTCCATTTATTCTTTTGGCGCATTTAAGTCATTTAAAAACATGACGACATACAAATGAAAACACTAAAAATGAAGGTTTGTTCGTTACTTGAACCATCGAAATATTTATAATATTTCAATAAAATGCGTTTATGAAGTAGGTTTTGTTGTTTTCTATTCTATTGCATATTAACTGATTTCAGCAAGTCAACATGGCGGTTCCTTTGTTACGAAATGTCAACTTTGGATTTGACGGTAGGTTACGAGAAAAACATGGAAATCAAAAATGGCAAATGTTGGGTTTGAGAATAGGCCTACAGAGAGAATATACACCCTCGCTTCAGTTTTTAATGACTATATTTGTCCTTTTAGAATCGAAATAATTTGTGGAAGTCATAGATTTGTCGTAAATTTACACATGACCTAACGCTCAGGATACAATTCGAATAAATTATTCGACAAAAGGAGTCAATATGAAAGAGAAGTCGGATAGTTGACGTTCTTTATTTACAAGAAGAACAAAAAGTTTTAGTTGAAGGAGGTAAAAATTCACTTCATAGAGTACGTAACAAAAGATAACTGTTGTATATATGGTGCATGTCGTCTTTTAACTAAATCTATTATATGTGACACTAATTGAAGTTTTGTCTTATTTTTGTTAAGTTGATATTGTCTTTTCACTAGCAAAGACTTATCCACCGAAACTATCAGCACTCTCAAAGAAAATCATTTTTGTTTTGAGTTTTTATATTCAAAAATAAGGCCGTTATTTTTTTTATTTTGAATGGTTTAACATTTTGATATGTTGCAGACTTTTAGAGCTTGGTACATGGTATTGTTTTTCTCCTTGTTGAAGTTCGTGTGGTGGCCTATATGTGTAAAGTGTACATCATAACATATCTGGTTGGTAGTTATTTCGTCGGTTTTAGTTGTTGGACATGTAAATTTAGGTTTTTTCGTCATCTGATGAGTGTTTAATGTTTCATTGGTGCATTTCACCTCCTTTCTTTTTAGCACTGTAAAAACAATACCGAAATATGTTTAAAAAATCTATAATTTTACCAAACCTCTCCTTGACAATAAGATCTGACGTTCTTAGACTCATTAAACTAAATACATTGACAGCTAATCTTTAATTTTATAATCATATGATTAAAATTCCAACACATTTACGACAATTTGTCCTACATGTATGACGTATTTTCTGAAGAAAAAAAAATGAAATTCAATGAGTATGACTTAGATAATTTTAAATTTATTTTAAAGATTAATACAAAATAAACGATTTGATGATATGACATAACTATGCTCTAGTCCCCTTTAATTTTCACAAATATAACCGCCTTGACTGTTACTATGGTCGCAGCTAACATCATAAAACTTATATCTATCATTGGCATAGAATAACATGCAGTCTTGTTCGTCTAATGCTGTTCCTCCGGGTTGTCCATTACCAAAAGCAAAATACGTCATTTGTGTTGCATTACCATTTTTAATCCACCTCCAATCTCCACTTTGGAGATATCTGTTGATGTTACGTCCGCCAACAAAATAGTGTACACCTGAAATAAATTGACATTACCATTAACAACATCGTCGTAATCTTCATCATGAAAAATAGAAAGCATATATGAATGATGATGCTTATTGTAATCATTGTAACCAGTGTGTTTTGATAGCATAAATTTCTTTTTCAAAATAAAATATTTTTAGTCAATGTGTAAAATTTAAATCAATACTATCGTGCTTTATTTTCAGCATTTCTACGTTGATAAAAATACATTAAGAAAACGAATGCATGTAGGCTTTAATAATTACGTATGGATACAAGCATTTCATAAAATACATACCTGTAAAAGATTATGTTTAACTGGTCTGACTTACGGTCAGACAAAAAAGCCCCTGGGAATTTCTATCTCACTATGTGATGTGGGTTTGCTCATTTTAACCGTGACTTTAGCTTTGAACTTATATTTTATTTGGTCTCAGGTGGAGAGTCGTTTCATTGTCAATCATGTCACATCTGTTGTGTATACATATCAAAACGTTTCAATGATTCAAACGGTACGTTTAATATGTATAGCAAAGTCATAATCGACAAGATATGTACACAACATGAATCATATCGATTGGATTTGTTTTAAATATAGTACCTGTATTCATCTGCTGAAGAAACAATTTCATAGCCATGGCCTCCTCCAGTGTTTCAAAGTTAGCTAGGTATGCACCAAGATTTGTACAACGTGCCTTATTTAAGAATAAAAAGTTGCTTTAAAAATAAGTGTATCGAGAAGCCAACCCTTCGTAAATTTTACAAACGCCATTACAAATTTGTTGAATTGTTTTTTTAATATTTGTTTCACAGATTATGAATGATGTGTTCGAATTGCCGTAATTGCTATCCCGTCATATTTTCCGCTAATTTGACCAACCGAATTAGATTTATCATCGGGTTTGTACTTTTATGACCAATACGACAGAGATCACCCCACAATTTTTGTTTAGATTCGTGTTACTCTGATTTAATTTTGTTATATGTTGTGTTTTATGTACTGTTGTCTTTTGTTTTAGCCATAACTTTGCTAGTTTGATTTTTACTGATGAGTTTTTATTTCCATTTCGTATCATTGGCCTCTTTTTACTTGATAAAGGTTTCCTTTTAAACTGATTTAACAATAAAAAAAATGTTAGGGTTCCAAACGTCCCCCAGGGCTTTGTTTGGTTGTATCGAACAGTTTCAAAGCAAACGTTTAAAAAAAGAGTAGTTGTTTTCATTCCCATTATATGGTCTCGATATGTGTTTCTAGGGAATTTAACTTATCTTTATTATTTTAAATCTTTACATTCTTCTTAGTATTCATACGTACAAATGCTTCATCACCAGAACCAGTAATGTCGCTGATAAAGTAACAGCCATCTCTTATCTTCTGGTATGGTGACTGACAGCTGACTGTTAAATAAATCCAATAGTTAATGAATTTTTCACTGAGTAAGTCGTTTTAAACCTATTTCTACATAAGAATATGCCTGTACCCAGTCAGAAATTGACAGTTGGTATCCAATCGTTTGATGTGTTTGAGCTTTTGATTTTGCCATTTGATTAGGGACTTTCTTTTTGAATTTTCCTCGGGGTTCAATATTTTTGTGATTTTACTTTTTTCAAATATATATATGAAGCCCAGGTGGTCGAGTGGTTTAGCGGGTCGGATACAGTGCAGGCGATTTGGTGATATCTCAGTAGCATGAGTTCGAATCCAGGCGAGGGAAGAACAAAAAAATTGCGAAAGCAAATTTACAGATCTAACATTATTGGGTTGATGTTTAGACGAGTTATATATATATATGAAACGTCTGAATAATAGTAAACGATTTTTCCCACGAGGGCGCTGGATCGTTACGAGTAACGATACACGTACACAATAAATAAATTATATAAACGCCTAAAAAGTGTACACAACAACACCAATAACAAAAAAAGGAACTATAAATGTAATTATTTATAAATATTTCGTATAACAGATATCCTTCATCAGTAAAATGATTGTGACGTTGAATGAATCATATATCAGTCTACTTAGATTAAACTATAACAATCTTGAAATTTATACAATAAAAAAGTCAAACCGAATATCAGGTAAGACGCTTGCACAATTCTAAATATGTGTTAAACACGACATAGGTTATATGACTAATTACAACAGAGAGTTCAAATATATGCTTTAAATAAAAATAATAATGTGCGATATGAACTAGCACAATTCTAAAGCTTTAACGGTGACGACAGTTATGATGTTACAAGAACGATTGCGTCAATAAGAATTCCAAATAAACAGCACTGAACGATCTAAATTTGTAAATATTTCAAATTTGACAACGGTAGAGTAGTTACAACAGAGTCTGCGTATTTAAACATCGCAAACAAACGGCCGTTAAAATATAATAATAAATTTTGACTAAGGTTAACTAGTTGAACGTGGCTTGGTACTTTTACATCCCTCAAAAAATTAAGCAATTTAAATTGGTATAGTCAACAGATGTATTTTAGAGATGAGTAAGGTAAAGAAATAGAAACAGAGACTGTAATAATAAGTAATATAACCCAAATGTGAAGCACTGCATGGAGTCGAACTACATCTTTTCATTTATCCCATTTGGTGCCAAAGTTGTTTATTTTCTTGTCCAAAATCTTTCCCGAGTGATTCTATCCTCCCTAGACCGAGCAGAGTTGTGGTCAATGATTGTAATGGTCAGTCGATTGAGATCTGCCTTAGTGTGGCCAGGTGATCTCAAATGTCGACTGAGAGGGAGGTCTGGCTTGCATTGGTAGTCACTACGATGACCGTTCATTCGTTTGTGAAACGGCTGTTCTGACTCGCCACATTTACACTGTAGGAGATACACAACATTTGTAGTCTTGCAATTAACATTGCAAAATATGGTGTATTCTGTACCAGTGGAGTGACTGTTAAAAGTCTGGGTAACCAGTATTTGTTTGCAAGTCAGACATCGTTTGTTTCCTCAACCCTTGCAAGAGCCCACAGACGAAGAGCCTGCTTGACAGGATAAATCAGCTCTCACCAGCAAGTCTTTAAGGCTTTTGGGCCTACGGAAAGCCAGTACAGGTGGCTCGGGAAAGATCTTGGATAGTTTAGGATGTTTTTCGATTTCTTTCCAATTTTTCGCGGATTAGGTGAGATAAGTTGTCAAATTTTGGATGGTAAGTCAACACAAAAGGCACCCTCCTGTTGACCTTTTTGACTTTATATTGTAAAAAATTGTCAACAGGAGGGTGCCTTTTATTATAGTTTAATCTAAGTAGACTGATATATGATTCATTCAACATCACAATCATATTTACTGATGAAGGATATCTGTTATACGAAATATTTATAAATAATTACATTTATAGTTCCTTTTTTGTTATTGGTGTTGTTGTGTACACTTTTTAAGCGTTTATATGCATATACATATATATGCATCTACAAAATACATATCAAAAGTTCATGTGTCTACCCAACAATTAATGTATGTATGATATATTAATAATTCCTGCACTTATTTCATCCGATTACATAATTCCTGGTTTACTGAGGAGTCGGTTGGTTAGTCTGATTTGATATATACGCGTGCATCTCCAGTTTGATAGAAGACATACACATTGTCCGGGTGCGGGAGTTTCTCGCTGCATTGAAGATCCATTGGTGGCCTTCGGTTGTTGTCTGCTCTTTGGTCGGGTTGTTGTCTGCTCTTTGGTCGGGTTGTTGTCTGCTCTTTGGTCATATTCCCCATTTCCATTCTTTAATTCATGGATAATTATTGCTACACCCAATATACGTTTATATGCGTGCAATTACTTTATAATGGGGTTGAGTTGTAAGCCAAAATTGTCCTGCCCATGAATAGTTTGTTACATTTATTTAAGATCGAATAGTTTGTTACATTTATGGAAGATCAATTAGTTTGTTACATGCATGCATTTGGGGAAGATTGAATTGTTTATTACACATAACATGTTGAAAAATAGAAGATCCACCACTGAGTTACCATGGTAGGCGTGCAATGCTTCACGAAATAGAACGGAAACCAAATACTTTCATATAAATCATTACATGTTTTAAGGAAAATAAAACAGCAAAGGAAACTTGCATCTGCATAAAACACTACTAATCCGCATATCCATTACCATCGTCCACTGATAAGAGCGTATGTGTACATATATTGCAACCATATAAATGAGTACGAAAGTTTAAACAGAACTGACAATTGGCTTATCAAAATGAATAAAGATTTTTTTCAGATGTATGGGGTCAAACCATGTGGTCGTGACATAATATGTCTTTCCTGCTTCTGTTGAACATTCATACTTGCATGTTTATGTTTTGTGTATACTTTACGAATCTTGTATTCGAAAATAAAATCAAACGGACATAGGCAAAAGCTAAACATCAAATTTATTTATTTAATGTATTGCATGTTTTCATATGCTTTTAATAATAAGTTCATGCCTTGGTAAACATGGTAAATCTTCGTAATTTACCATTTTATTTTTAAATTGCATGAAACAGGACCAAATGTTATCAGTTCTGATATAATCAGTCAACATTGACAATGTATATTGCATTTGTCTCACACGGTGTTATATGGTTATATGTATAGTGTTACCTGATGGTGGCAGTTGATTGAGAATGTTTGTGTAGTTCAACGTTAATTCTTGAATCTTCCTTTCCAATGCATCAATTTTGTAACTACAGGTCCCATTATCTGAAAGAATTAACTGGTTAACAAACTGTACACATTTTGAAAAACCTTCATTTGTATTTTTGATATAATTATAATTCACCCATTTTATCGAATGTACCTTGATTAGCCTATGTCTTTGATAATTCACCAAACCAATACACAATTCATAATTTGTTTCTCAAAAATTAACCAAAAAAATACACATTTCGTTAATGTTGTCCTTATTGAAAAGGAATATTGTATATCAGAATTTTTTTTTTAATAATGTTAACTGTATTCTGTTATAGAGATAGTGTTTACGAGTGAACATGAATAAAGTAATAGTTTTTCTGTTATGTTTTACCTTCGCCCTGTTCCTGTGGATACACACGTATAACAGCTATTGTGGTTGTAGCATTATGAAGTACCTTGTACTCGTCTTCAAAAAGTTTATGTATCCGTACTATTAGAGTACTGTTAGACAAGTAGATATAATTCCCGTAGACGTCAAATGAGTAATAAGACAATGTTGTGTAAGATTTAAGCAGTTGTCTCACATCGGAACCATTTAAAGTGGCAGATTTTAGATTCCTTTCATTCCTTTCTCCAATTTGCACCCAATACAAACGGTCACCATGAGGGTCTGAAACATAGGATATTATTCTGATAAAATGTATACCAACAAATATGAAAAAAAGTAACCTGATGTACATTATTTCATTTTTCTATTTTCTACTTCTTCATTATGACGATCTTAGATTTTAAATATTGACAATATTATAGTAGTCACTGGATCTGGAAAAAAAACACACGATAAATAAACATAGTATATAAAAGATTAAGTTGATTTAATCCATTGTTTAACTCGTGGTTTTATTTTTTGTATAAAATAAAATAAAAAACAATCATTTCATTTTGAATTATCACACAAAAATGATATCGCTAAGTTATCAATAATGTTATGATATATTTTGTAACTGAAGAAATTTTTGTAAGTAATTGAGATTATAATTGATTAACAGAAGCTGTATGATATGTATCATTATTGTTTGCCCTTGCAAAAAGTAAATTGATTCAAACAATTTAACATTTGAAATATATTTATGAACTCAATTGACAATTTAAAACAAAGGTAGCGAAAATACTAAGGCAAATTAAAAAAAAAGTAGTCCAACAAAATTGACAGAATCAAGCGTTATTAACCAACGAAACAGGTAAAACAAAATGCCGTATTCCTGACAGATATATTTACTGATAGAAACGGTGTGTTAAAATGTTTTCTATAGCTAGATAAACCTCCACGTAGATGACAGTAGGTTTGTTTGAATTTTTATTAGAGCCAAGACCTATCCAAAACGATGCATTCGTACCTTTTCATCTTTTTAAATTACTCTCTGAGGCATAATACTACTATACATTTTCTGTTGTGTTTTTTTCAGATTTACTCTCACATGACGAATGAAAGTTATATAAAACACATGTTAGTCAACTTTCAAAGACAATATTTGTAGTATGATAACGTATGGAGATTTGTCAGTTTTAAAATGTTTTTATGTTTTTGAACGCAGGGTACCTAAACAAACCCTTTAGTATGCCTTTATTGTTTAACTGGATTAAATATATTGAACAGATAAAAACAAAAAGATATTTCGTCCCAGCATTTTGGGTTAGTAACTAAAACTATATATACTACATGAATTGTCTCTTATTTCAAACTAAACTAAAAGAGGACCGAAAGATACCGGAGGAACAGTCAAACTCATTGATAGAAAAAAAACCGACAACGCCATGGCTAAAAATAAAAAAGACAAACAGACAATAATAGTACAGAAGACACCATATAGAAAAATCAAGACTTAAGCGACTGTTGTGACGACATAAGGAACGTATCTGATATCATCTGTGAAACGGTTATTCCATAACGGTCAACCAACTCGTGATGGCGTCCGTAAAATTTACCAAGGGATGATTTCAATTTCACCATTTCGAACTCTTGGTTTCATAGCTTCCTTGTGAGCAGCAATCCTCGTTCTTGGAAATCAAAACTAGCTTACTTATGTTCCTTATGTCGTAACTACAATACCCTTCCCTTTTCCCGAATGTGACCTACCGAATTAGACTATTTACCGGATTTATAATAACATAAGCACATGTGGAGCAGGATTTGCTTACCCTTCAGGAGCACCTGAGATCACCCCCAGTGTTTGGTGGGGTTCGTGTTGCTTAGTCTTAAGTCTTCTATGTTGTGTCTTTCTGTACTATTATGCTTGTTTGTATTTTTATTTTTTCAGCCATGGCGTTGTCAGTGTATTTTCAATCTATGAGTTTGACTGCCCCTCTGATATCTTTCGTTCCACTTTTACTTTTGTTCAAGCGCTGTTTTAGTTGCCTAATATCAGCAAATTAAACATAATCAATAAACACAAATAGTAATAACATATGTGTCAATAATGAAGAATTGCTTAGGACGTGTCTGTTACAAGAATGTAACTCCTTACTTCAAGAGAAGATGTCGATGCCAAATCTTTTTCTTTAATATGAACATTTGATTTTGTGTCGATTGCAAGACGTCTATTTTGTCCATTCAATTGAAAAATGTAGTTTCGTATCTATCAACCAAGTTTTTGTTGTCGGCTTATTTCTCATGTGTTGTTTGTTTACTTTGTCTTACCATATTTGTGACACAAGTCTTAAAACAGTTAATGAACATATGGTAATGCGTAAAAGAAAGTGCATTTGGTATGGATCTCTTACTCCGCTAATGTTACGTTTTTTGTTAATAAATACCTAATCGTTAGTTCGATGGGGGTTCTTCTGCTGTGAAATTAACTAAAATTAGTATGTCTTGTCCATTTAATCTTGATCTTTGTATTCTGCCGATTGATCCAGTAGTAAAAATACCAAAATACATCATTCTACAAGAAATATATTATCTGCATTGAACCCGTTTACATGACAGAATATGGATTGCTTACCAATTAAATCAATTCTAACACTCACTTTTTTTTGTTGCGGAAGAAATGAGTCAGGTTGATTATCGGAGCAAAAATCATACAGAAATCTTTCGGTATAATTCACATCCCAATTATGCAGCGTGCTTATACTAACAGACAATAAAACAGTGAAGCGTGGTGTCATTGAAAATTAGTCAAAAATGTGTTGTCATACGGATACCCTGTTTCTTAAAAAATATATAGTGATTCTCTTTATACTTGAATATACAATTGTATTACTTTACTCTTTTTTGAGGTAAAAGAAGTATTGTATTATCACACTGAGGGTCACCAACATTACCTGATTTGAATGCGGATGCAGTTTTCACAACAGAAATAATTAATGACAATAACATATTTGTAATAATAGACTGATTTCGTTTATGGCCTACGGATACGGGAACAGTTTGCTTGAAGTGCAACGTCTACTGAATTCCCTTACAAATGTTTGCTTTTCTTTATGCATGAACATGACAACCCTCAAGTATTCTAACAAATCGTTTTTTGTAAATGTTGATTAATATGATAGAGTTTGAAGACAAGACTAGGCAAAGTAACTGTTCATTCAGTGTTATACATGTATCCGATTTGAATAATAACTCATACCGATCAGTATATTTCCTATTTGAAGATATCTTGACCTTTTGATACTTATATGAGCACTTCATATGACGTTCATATCTTTAAAACGGAGCTAACCATACGTCTATTGAAACCACAAATTAATTATTAAGCAATATGCCACCTGCTTCTTTGTACCTAAACAACACGTTGAACTTTACGTTTGAAAAAACCCAAAGTCGACATTGCTGCCATCATAAGTATGTGCTATACTCAATACACTATCAAAACTAAATTTATATTCGTACTTATTATAGTATATGATTTCAAAATGTAATTGCAAAATATTACATTCACAGATAATTCTTCTGTTTCTCTATCATCAATTACGTCAACACACTTGTCCAAGGTCAAGTGGATATGATACGCTGAAAGTCTCATCGAGTTATTACAAGAAGTATGATAATGATTATGGAATAATATGTCACAATCTGATATGACATGTGCAGTTCTTTATAAAAGAGGAGCGAAAGATACCAGAGGAACATTCAAACTCATAGTTCGAAGATAAACTGACAATGCCATGGCTAAAAAAGAATAAGACAAACAGACAAATACATGTAATAGTACATAAGAAACAACATACAAAACTAAAGACTAAGCAACATGAACCCAACCAAAAACTGGGGGTGATTTCAGGTGCTCCGGAAAGGTGAGCAGATCCTGCTCCACATGTGGCACCGGTCGTGTTGCTCATGTAATTTAAAAAAAATATTCCTAAATTTTACTTCAGAATTTTATGTAAGTTAAGGCTTTTTGACATTAGTTTAACACTAAAGAATACATCATGATCTTTTGTTTGATACGAAAGAATCTTTCATATAAATATGTGTTTCTTAGTAGTTGTCCGGGATCGGGAAAACGCCAGATTTATTTATACAATCATTAAAATACCAAAGAAGACATTTTGAACAGGAAAGACAGATATCCACAACCCACTAACCAAACTCTTTTAAATAAAATTACCTGAAACAAATTAACAGAAAAACAGATCATTTTATGTGGGCTGCCTGAAATCATACTCGTAAT